CCCGCCCCGTTTGGAAGCGCTGGGAGCCAGACCTGCACTGCTGCCTTCACCCCGTTGTCCTCCGTCCCTCCTCCTGGCTCCTCATTCTCTTTGCTGTTTTGGACCACTGCTGAGTGCCAACACTAACGGAACTATCTGTTACATCCCCAGGATTTTATTCCTAAACAGCAACACACCACTCAGAGCCCATCATTTGTCTGTAGAGCTAGTTATTGCTTCCCTCCCCCGTGTTTCACCTCCCATTTATCGATATTGATTTCCCACAGCCACTACAGAGCCTGGAAACTGCAGTTCCTTAGCGTTTAAATAGACTCATTGCTAATTACTAGTAATTAGCATCCGCGAGCAGCCCGTCATGTGGCGAGCTGCATTTCCATGCGGTTTGGTCCTAGGCAGCAGCCTTTCAAAGATAACAAGCTGCAGAAACAACATGAAACGAACCACGGCTGGGTTCGGACGCCGTCTCGGGGTTGGCTGTTTCACGAGCAATGGGAAGGAATTGCTGGCTCTGGCGCACACGCTTCCACGTCGGCTGCTGCCCGTCGCTCAGGGCTCTGGCTGACACACTCTTTTTCCCAGCCTCCAGCCTCCTGCACACGTTATTTATCAGCACTTGGAGAAGAGATCATTGTAGGGGACAACTGCTTGAATCCTGATGGTAGAGGGATTCCGTGACGACATTTTAAAATAAAACCGAGGTTTAATTACTGACCATTCAAATGAAACAGCAGAATTTGGCCCTTCATTCTCTGAGCTCACAGATGTGCAGGCTTGTCTGTTTTAAGGTCAAGAGGTGTTTTATTTCTCCTGTGCCACCTGCTGAGGCGAGTAAATATTTCTAATTTAAATTTTTCTAACTAAACAAGTGAATTTTTCTGAGGCCAAGAGCTAGGCTACTGCGCAAAGCTGCAGTGCCACAGCCACCGATAAAACAACTCCTTCTCTAGTTGGGTCAGATCAGTTCAATTTTCTTCCACAACTCTGGCTCCCAGATATATATCATGAAGCACTACAGTACACCAAGCTCCCTGATATACTCTGTAAAGCATTAATGAGCTACAGGGGGTTTCCGGCATACAAACTAGCTGTAGAATACATGCAACGCGCTTACCGACGTTACCGAATTGTTTCAGCTATTTCCTGTCTGGAAAGACAAAAGCCCTACTCCACACTAGCTCAAACGCATTTCCTAGTTGTCTGAATAGAACAAACAAAGGAGGGAACAAAAACTAATTGGGAATGTTAGTGTTAACAGGAATATTTCTGCCTTCAGAAAACGAGAATTAAAAAAATAAGTAAGAAAAAAATGAGAATATGCATTGTGTGCCTGGTTTAAAACTTACTTTTACTTCTTTGTGTAGTACCAGACTTTTCAAGAGTCATTTTTGCTCATTAGCAACAGAAGAGCTGTCATCTCAGCAAGAACAACCCATGTTGGGCAGAGGAAGTCTTACAGTTAAAGGAAAAAAAAAAGTAATTTAAAAAAGCACCCGAAAGAGTCCCGTTTCCCAAACTTACTATTCTCTCCTTCCGGAATTCTCCAGCAGCTCTTCCAAGGCCTTCCCAGAGCAGGCGTGATGACTCTGGTGGGAAGGGGGCCCTGAGCCCCGGCTCGGAGCGTCCCTCCCGCGCGGGGCAGGGGGAAGCGGCGTGGCGCTGACTGCTCCTCAAAACGAAACCACGGCCACCCCCGGAACCCAACTGGCTGTGTGCTTGGTCCCTGCTGGAGACTAAAATAAACAGAAATACAAATGCAGGAAACGTGCAACCCTGCAACTCCTGAAATACCAGAAGGTCTCGGAGAGACGAGGTCGTTCCTCCACGGCAGCGCTGCACGTCTGGGGAGCTCACAGGGCACTTTTCCTTTGCACGTAATGATAAACCAGGCAAGACAGAATCGTCACGCTGTGTCACATCATCTCCTCCCGGTCCTTTGAGCGTTTTATAGAGCAGATCAGCACTACTCTACCTAGCTGGTAGGAGAAACCCAGGCAGAAGGAGATGAACTCATCTGTCCTTGGACAGCTAGTTCATCTAAGGACACCAGGGGACTAACCTTGGACAACCAAGGACCCCAGGGCCCAAAACGCTCATCCGAGACAAGCGTTATCTCCCCTGGGTAGTGCTGGAGCTCTTCCTTCCCTTTTCCATCGCTGAGTGAAGAGGGGAAGCACCCTACAGCAACCACTTTCCCTGGACATTTCCTTCAGGTCCCGGTTACATTGGTTGCCCCCCCCCGGCAAGCACAAGCAGCTCTGCAGTCCACGAAAGCCCCGGCGGAGGCAGGAGCCAGCCACAGTAACTCACCTGCTCTGGTTGAACGCTGCCAAGGGACCGACTCCTGGGTTTTGCTCCATGCCATAGACAGGAGGGGACAGTTCAGCGTGAGCTAAATGGGATAAAAGGCAAGCGGATTGAAAACCAGCTGCCACAAATTCTTAGTAACTGAGAACTTAACCCAAACCCCTTCATCAAAGGGCAAACCTCACTGTATTTTCTAAGCAGGTGACAAGCACGACAATACATCAAATTAGCAAAGGCCCAGAGCACCTTCTTACCTCTGCAGAAGTGCACGCCACAGCCTAGAAACGCGGTAAGTGAAAAAACAAGAGTTGGGGATGCTACTGGGAACTTGGAACAAACCCAGTTTCATACCAGTAGGCAGAGGGAATAGGAAGAATTAAACTTTGGGAAATCCATCTGTAATTACTAGGTCCATCCCTACTTCAACTGGCAATTCAGAGGACTTCTCCTGAAAGCCTCCTTCACCCAGCAGCATGTCAGGGCTAAAAGAACAATTCTGAAACACACGGGACGGACAAGCATCTGTTTTCCTCCAAAAACTGACGTTGCCACCAGTGCGTGAAGCATCCAGTCTTCTGTTGAACACCACTAAATTCCGTATGAGTTGCATTTGATTTCATGGCTGTCTCCCCCCCAGAGTCCGTCTGTACATTCCCACAGCACCCCTCATACACACACACACACCTGGCCCTCACATAAAAACAGCCACTGCGGAACAATTCAAGGCATCGGCAGCACGCCCACCAATAACAAGTTCTCATAATGCATTTTCCTGCTCCTCCCCACGGCCTTGCTTCACTAGAGCCCCTCTATGCTCTCCAAAGCAGGGCAAAGGGAAGCAGACAGGCATTTTCAATGTCACTCCAGACTCACTTGTGCTTCTGGCTCCCCAGTTGCTCCGCAGACACACACAGGACTGGTTTCGGCACACCAGGCTTCCCTCCCCTGCCTCTGCAGAGTGGTATCAGAGAGTGTACTTCAGTTACTTTTCTCTTGGGGGAGGAAAAAGGTGAACAACTTGATCCTGTAGCTGAGTAATATTTAAAAATATTTTTAAAAAAACACCCCAAAGCAGCTGATGAAACCTACAGAAGAGCCCACTTGTGTCTGCCCATACAATCCCACCGCCTGTACCAGGGCCAGAAACCCACGATCTCTGCTCAGACCATCACCCCTCTAGGACCCTCGATGGACACGACGGCTGAAGTTCACCTTTCAAAAGTTCTTCCCACAGGCTTGTTCATTTAGCAAAAAAAAAAAAAAAAAAAAAAAAAAAAAAAAAAAAAAAAAAAAAAAGCTGTAGAAAACCAAGTGATTATTATTTATTTATTTGAATAAATAGTACAACTGACACAAACCATGCATAACACTCCTGCTGTGGTTTTTAGCACACATAGCATTGCATTGTAACTTGCTTACAGTACAAAACTCTTGTCACAAAGCTGGATGTCCCCAGCATACGACAAGTCCAGAATTTTATCTGCAAGGCTGGTTTTTAGTAGTTAGAAATCCAGAGTAAACACTGCTAAAAACAGTACAAAAGACTCTTAAAAATACACTAATACTGAAAGCACTGGGGTGTGGGGAAGAGGGGTAAGAAATCCTACAAGGTTTAACTGATCAAAACCCATCTGCCACCTGTTTTTTCATCTTGAAAAAGAGGCTGCAGATGAGGAGTATCCGGGCTTTTTCTGTGGTGATACAGCCCACTGGAACTGAGTGTGCCGAGCAGATGCACCTAAAAGGCAAACCTGTATGGCCTGGAAAAGACAGACCCTCATCAAGTACTCCCAGATGTGGAAGCGTTAATGCTGCAGAGCGTTCAGCATCTCAGATGAACTCAAAGGATTCAGATCTACCCCCCTGGCACCCGGGGGACAGATCTGAAATCCAGTAACACAAAGGGTTCGTTTGGAGCGTAACAAACCCACCCTGCTCCCAACCCTGTTAACAATAAATACAGCGCCTACAGGAGGAGCGACCCGGCCAGACAGCAAGGAGCCAAGGAAGGAAAAATGTGTTTTCCCTGCGCAACATTTACCCACGGACTTAAAAACGTAACAAACCAGGGCATGACACCTGCCCCCAGCCTGCTCAGGGCGTCAGCGCTGCGCTGCGATCCCGACTGCCAGGGATGGGAACGGAAGGATGCTACAAGGGGCCCGTGCCCTCAGGCTGTACAGGAGGGACCCGCATTCTGCAGAGTGACCAGAAACACGTAACTGAACAGAGCAGAGGCTCCTCTGAACTCTGCTGGGGTGTTCACATCTGCTCACGTGCCGTGAAGGTGCCAGCTGTACAATCCCATCCCAGAAACAGGCGTTCCCCCTCCCAAAGCCAAACTGCTCTTATCAACCTTGTTATCTCCTGTCTGCTTTTGACATCAATATTGCACGCAATTTCAAAAACTAGATGCTCTGGAGGTCTCTCCCAGCAACTCAAGAGAATACAAACAGCACTGGCACCTCCACACCACCTGAAGGCATGCGGGCAGAACCACAGCTCTTTAAGACTTGTTTCCCACCAGTAACACTGCGTTAATTCGAGAGACCTTTCAGTTCAACCCCCTTCCAGCCCCACGACAGCCCTATTTCACAGCATGAAAGTCAGACCAGTTTCATTAACTCGCCAGGAGAGCTGACCCTCCAGGCCTCAGTGCCTCTGCAAGTCTCCTCTGCAATAATTGCCAGTGTTGTTGTAAAGTCCAGTGACCCCATCAGAAACCAAAGTCCAATTGTTCTGGGCTCGTATAAGCAGCGAGAGGTCAGCTCCCTAAAATACAGGCAAGCAGTGATTCCCCACAGAACCTTACAGAGCAGACAGGATCCGAATTTCTGATGGAAAGAAAAGGCAACTTACTTCCATCTTTGTTTTGGAGGTGTGAGGGGAGGTGACCCAAATAATTCACATACTCAGAATCCAAAAAATGTAAAACAAAGATGCAGAAGCCCATTTCTCCCCCTCTGGGATTAAAAAACACTTGGAGGGAAGGAGAAAATCCCAATTGTAAAATTATCCCATTCAAATAGCACGTTTCCTCTTGAACTCAGAAGGGTAAATAATGTTTGGTGTAGAAATCCTTTTTTAGGGCAAGAAGATGCCTACTTACAACAGGGCTCGAGCAAGCCCGCGGAGCAGAGCGACGCTACCCGCCACCTTTTCGGGGCACTCTTGCTTAACATTTCCCACAGATTATGGCTACCCACAAAAGTTGCTGCTGTGACCCACAAAAGCAGCCGTCAGATCTCCCCCGTGCGCTCCAAGGAGAGGAATGCTGTGCTATGCATGTGCCACAATTCACCTACTCTGGAAACGACAATCCCGTTCCCTTCGCACAGCTCTCCTCAAAAACCTGCTCAGCGGGTGCACGCTGCGGCACAGCCTTCCCGTACCCCCGCTGCTCCTGGCACACCCCGCCAGGGACCGGCTGCTTAACCTGTTAAGTCCTCGGCGGTGACTCGAGTCCACCGGACAAATCTAGCAACTCTGTTGTGAAAAAGACGCCTGCTAAAATCTGCAGCAGCCTGGAAGACGAGAGGACTAGGCCAGAGCCTAGCAGAGTATTTCCTGGGATGGCACAGGGCAACTCGACGGCATTGTCTGAAGCGTAACCGGTGACCGAGGAGGCTCCCGCCTGCCTGCCCTGCGTCTGCCCCGCGTCCTCCCGGCCCAGTGCAATCCACGGGGACAGGCAGGCTCGCTCTTACACAGGAATTCAGTTTTACGCCTTAGGAAAGACAACAGACAAAACTGTTTAAAAAAGCCTGACGCCCAGAAGCGTACAGCTGCCAGGAACTCCAACAGGAACGAACGTGGCCCTTTAGCTCAGCCTGTGAAATGAGGAGTCAGCCCTCACACTGCCCAGCTCCTTATCTCCCCTGCTCCTTCGGAAAGGGCCGGGGGCAAGATGCACCAATCCAGCCTGAGCCTACCTGACCAGGCCTGCCTGACCCGGCTGAAGCTGCGTGCTTAAGGGATGATTAGTGGCTTTAGCAACCAAATTTCTCCTAGAAAGGAGATGAAGGAAAAAACAGACACGGAAAGATTAGCTGGTCATCCCACTGCAAGACTTACTCTGTGTAAACACGGAATGGAAGTAACACTGAGCAGCATGAGGTTAACGAAAAAACTGAAGCTCCTGCCATTAGCTTCAGATAGTGCCTGTCATTCCCCTCAGCCCCACCCACCCAACACAACATACCAAACCTTATTTAACAGAAAAGGTTCAGCTTCCAAATAAATTCCAATGCTGTTTTCCTACTGCCAACACTTAAATCTGAAAAATCATCAAATGCCAGTTGCAACCATGGAATATGCAGAATCAAAGAGTGTCCAGCCACGAGGAAGGTCTCACATCTTCCCTGCTGATTAAAGTAGTTAGTGGTGTATTTCCTTTATCAAAAGAGCATTTGTTGATCACAACAAACAACAGATCAAGGAGTATCTTCTGGTAAACATGTGAAATAGCTACACATTTTCAAGTGACCTAGAGAATACACATGCATAGTTTTTAGTGGGATCGTCATACAAACAGCTACAGACAGGCCACACCAACGGTAGAAAGAAGGCATGAAGTATAGCATAAGGCACAACGGGAGCGTGCAGAGGGGGTGTTTATTGTAATTTCAGCCTAAGGAGGTTGGAGGGATGAAGGCTTCAGCAGCTTCCAGGATCATTCAACGTTCTTGTACTTTGTGAACAGGTTGTAGAGAACCCTGAGGGTAGACTTCAGATCCAAGTTGACAACATCTGTGGAAGAAAAGGAAAAATCCTTAATTTCCTTTTTTGTTCTCCCTCATTTCTCCTCACAGGAACAAAAGTCCTGAGCTGGTGGGATTGGCAACAAAAGCCCCCAGAGTTCTGATCTCCCCAAGTCAAGGTTTTCAGATGTTCCATACCACGCACTTCAGAACACCTTCACGATAATACAGGCACAGCTAACTTCTATGCGAAAGGAGGGAAGAGAATTCCCTTCCCTCATCTACAATTGGTTATAGAGAAAGTCTACTTCTGTCCGAGAGCTGGGACCAAGGCTTTGGGAAATCCTACCAATGACGTCACTGGCCACAGAAGCAGCACACGAGCAGCCAGACACATCACACCAGGTACTGAACCTCACACATCCCCACTTCTGCCACGATGCAGGCCACGAATGAACAAAGCAGACTCAAAGCGTTCTACCACTTGACATCCCTTCTTCCCATGCTACCCCAGGGAACAGGTAGGGAACGGTTTGCACCAAAAAGCTTTTTCTGTGGCACCTCCCAACCTGGTACCAGAATAAAATGCCAGGAAATACCCCCGTGTTGTGGTTTAACCCCGATCGGCAACTAAGCACCAGGCAGCCTTCTGCTCGCTCCTGCCCCTGCCCAGCGGGATGGGGAAGAGAACTGGGGGGGGAAGAGTAAACCTTGGGGGTTGAGATAGAGACAGTTTAATAGGATGGCAATGGAAGAGAAAAAAATAATGATCGCAGAACGTGCAAAGCAAGTGATGCCCAATGCAGGTGCTCAGCACCCGCTGAGCGATGCCCGGCCTGTTCTGAGCAGCGATCGCTGCCCCCCACCAGCTCCCCCCCGGTTGCTGTGCTCAGGACGAGGTCCCACGGCCTGGACTAGCCCTTTGGCCAGCTGGGATCAGCTGTCCTGGCTGTGCCCCCTCCCAGCTCTTGTGCCCCAGCCCGCTCGCTGGCAGGGCAGCAGGAGGAGCTGGAGAGGCCTTGGCTTAGTGTGAGCCCGGCTCAGCAGCACCTGAAACACCGGCGTGTCAGCAGCGTTATTGTGCTCCGAAATGCAAACCCCAGCGCTGGGCCAGCCGCTAGGAAGGACATTAACTTTACCCCAGCCGAAACCAGGACACACAGACATGTAATAATCCAGGGACTGTGCGGGGAGGCATAGCATGGAGAAGGCAGAAGATACGGAAAGAAAGGTTGGATATAATACGTAAGAAAGGAGGAGGAGGAAGCAAAACATACACAGTAAACAATATATATGGAAGCCAAGAAGAACAGATAATTAAAACATGATTTAAAGAACTAGGGAGACAGCAAACAGTTAACAGACTAAGTACAGTTCATGTGAGGTCCAGGGGAAACACCTACTGCCTGTTTTGAAGAACCCTTGCCAGGACCTCTCCACCCTTCCCTCCCACCCCACTCCGGGTAACACTCTACCCCCCACACTTCATTTGGTATTTCCAGTGACCTCTCAACCTCTTCTTTCTACTCTTTTCCCCGCATTATTTTACCTATTTCATTCATGATTGTATTTTGCATTTGCAAAAGAATCTTGTCCTGCCCCCAAAAGAGGAAAGATCCTAAGTGCTGTAAAGTAACGCACCCTGACCAAAGAGATCTCTCACCTGCGTAACTGATCTATGAAGCACATTTCTTAATTTTTCCAGCTCTCACAGAAAGTGTCTTACCACCGCAGCATTCTCAGTAAGCTAACAGCCACCATCAGCACTGCTTCCTCTGTAGCAAGACCCGGTTCCCTCAGAGATGGATTTAAAAGGCGAGTTTAGCCACGGGAAACAACGCTTTGGAACAGCCCTGCATTTCTAGAGCTGGGAAATCCAGGCAAATATCTGGAGGAGACACAACTACCAGCAGATTTGGCTCACTGATGCTGGAAGTCACTTTTGTTTGCTGAACAATTCACCAAAATAGTGCTGGCACTATGAAAAAGCCAGAAAACCCCCGGCCCAAAGAGCTAGCTCTTTTATCTGGCAGTGTCATGACAAGCAAATTTAGGGTCAGAAGCACCCCCTGTGGTCACACGGTCTGATCTCATGTACAACACAGTCCTGAGAGGACTTTACTTTGGAAATCTTGTATTAAGCTTATGAACCAACCTGTGGCTGAATTAAAATATAAGTTTAACATTGCATAGTTTTTTTTTTTTTTTTTTTTTTTTCCACCTCCACCCCTTGACAATTCGACAATTCAGACCGACGGTTAATTACCTTCACTGTTGCAAAAGTTACACCGCAGTTCTAGTTTGACATTTTCCCAACTTTCAGACCTCGTCATGCCTCCGTGTGCTGCCTTAAGGAGCACGGCAGGGTGAGCTGCGCCCTCCCTGCGTGGGTGATTACAGCACTCCTCATTGATCGGTGTCTAACAGGCATTCCCAGGATCGAGGATGTTCCCAGACTCCCATTTCTTATTTTAAGATGAAGCACGCACAGCCATAGCATTATCAACCACAACTAACAAAAAGTTAACTGAAAGCAGTCATAAATCATCAAAATAGTTTAAAATATTCCATTAATTTAAAGCTTTCATGCTCCATAACCATCCTGTTAGAGGCTAATAAATGAATCCACTACAACAAACTCTTGCTGCAGTAACTCAGCATCAAGTTCTGCTGCCGGCTCAATGAATCAGTTGGGCTGAGAGAACAGAGAAGAGGAGATGCCCTGTGTGCTCGTATTTGTGTTTATCACCTGCACAAAGACACACTGCAATGTTAGAGACCTCTTTCTTGCAAGCACTGCAGGAAGCATGGGCTATAGGAATAAAAATGGGGACGTTCTGCTCTAGAAAACGTTTTACATGAAAAACCTACAGCTAATCCAAGAGGCACTGGCTACCCAATTCACGCTGAGGGACATGGACTCACCTAACAGGTTTTTCAGCCTATTTGGGAAGGAGCAATAGGTGAGTCTGGCATTAACAGAGTATAGCACGCACAAAACTTTCTGCAGAGCATCAGAGTCTGTGATACACCGAATTCTAGTTCCAAGAAACACATATGACACGGCTGTACCGAGTGTCAAGATTCTATAGAGCATTCGATGAAACGACAGTGACAAGCAAAGCCCAAGGTGTTACTGTCCTCTCCACAGGGGCAGCTTTTCAAGAGCAACAGTCTGTTTTACAGGAGACTCCAGCCACACAAGCCCATTCCGACAGCTGTGAACTACTGCTGTGGGGAAGGGGTACACGGGCAGGAGAGGAAGGAACGCACAGGAGAGACTGTACGTCCTGCAGCAGCGAAAAGGGGTGTTCTGTGAGCTAACCTGGCTCTCTAACCTCCACTAATAACTGAATTTTCAACCAGTGAAACACCTAAACATACTCTGCTGCTTATTGAGGCTGCACACCTTGTCCAGAGCGAACAAAACATTTGCTGTAATGTTCTGCCACTCAGGATAGTGTAAGGATATAAGATAGCTTATGGGAAGGTAATCTTTGTTAGCTCAACCGACGAAAACAAAACCAAAAAAAAGGACAAGATTTCAACTGGAGAAGTCTTCTCCTAGGTTTTTAACATTTCCTCTCCCTTGAAACAGGCTTATCTAGTTTACCTGGTCCTCTACTGCAATCTCTTTAGCCCTTCCACTCAAATTCCCATTCCTGATTGTGCATTCGTATTTCTCCAGTTTCCTCGTCCTCCTCACATCCGCCCTGAGTCAGCTCCCATACCCACAACACGCCTTTACTTCCCCAAGTGAGTGTCCTGTTTCACCGAATTCTTCAGAAGACTTTTCATCCCCAAATTTAAAAGAACAGCACTGACAGGATACATGTGTATTTAGTATCATCTTTTGCCTTTTTTCCCCACTATAACCAGCTCCACTATTCGTTAACCTATTTACTATCACCGCTTTGTCTCATTTTAAGTCAGACTGAACATTTCTCGGGGGCTCCTCATTTTTCTTTGTTCTGCAGAAGCCTCCTCCACATATGTGGTTTGCCACACCAGGAATTAAAATTGCTCATTTAGCAGTCGTAAAGTTTAATCCCTCTTTTTATCTCTAGTGCAAGCCACAGTGTAGCCCTCATAATTAATTAATTTCAAGGTTCAGAGACTTTAAAGGAAAAACTCAGCTTATACACTTTACAGTTCTGACTCCCAAGTCAACATAAATCAAGAAGAGAGTTTGCTACTGCTTCTCCTAAAAAAAAAAAATATCAAAAACCTTTCAGTTATCTGTCACTGAAATCTGATCACAAGAGCCCAAACTAGCACTCACTGTAGGAATTGTGAGAATTAGACCACAGAAAGCTTCCTGCTCGGATTGTTATTGAGAATACCAACTGAACTGATAACAGAGCACTGAGCTGCTCTTGGATCACTCACTAGAGCCGGACTTGTACACCTCAGAGAAGAGCCACAGGTAAGGATACAGCCCAGACAACGAACCCTCCGGGAATCTGTCAAGGGGCACATCTGCAGTTCCACCTTGCGGCACTACTGCTACCGCCTGCGGATGGACCTGCACTTGAAACCCACCTGCTGTTATGTCTTTGTACCCAGGTTAAGCTACACAGCATGTCCCTACCTTCAGGGCGAGCTTTTGGTTTCTTCAGTCCTCCATCTTGCATCAACTCAAAAGCAAAGGAAACATTATGGACCTGAAAGAGGCAAAGTGGTTAGAATCTCAAAGTTATACAGGCATTAAAAACCTTTGACGAAATGTTTAAATTGCTCTATCCTCTCTATACTTGGCATAGTCAATGATAATTCTATTTAAATCAATATTAGACATCTACATATTTAAGCATGGCAGACTAAGAAATGACAGCGTGTATTACTGAAGGGAAATACTTTTTGAGACACAGGAAGCACTTAACAGAGATCAGGAAATACATACAGGTGTGTAAGAAAGAAGAAATAAGGACACTAAGTGGAATTATTTTCAAACAACATTAGTCTTTTCTTCGTTATTATCAGCTGCATTTCCAGCAACATCAACATCCTATCAGCAAGGAGCCAGGCTGCTTGGTGCACGACCTCGTGCTAACCCCTTAGTCTCGTGGGCTCTGGCTTCCTCTACTTGAAAACAAAGATAAAAGTCAAATTAAGTTTCTCTAATGAAGAAAATGCTTCCAAAAATGCTTGGTGGTGGCAGTTCCTAGACAGAGTGTGCAGCGACCTCGCAAAAACTGCCCAGAAAGGGCTTCCTGACCCAGCCCCCAGGGATCAGGCCTGAGCATAAAGCCAGAGGAAAGAAAACGGACACCAAAGAAAACTGCCAGGAAGCGGGTGTTGGCTTTTAACCTCTCCTCTGAGGAGCGAGCATTATGGTTTAGAGAAATCTGCATAGCAGCTTCCTCGTCCACGCTTTACTGAAATTTAAGCAAGGTAATTTGGATTATGAATTCTGTCTATTTTCGTTACTGCAAATGACAGTTCTGGAGATACATAGCAAGGGAGAGAGATTTAATTAAAGCAACTCATCTTGAAAATCAGGGAGTAACGCGTACAAAGCTCCCCTACAACAAGGAAGGCAGGCCCCTTTCACTAGCATGTATTACTCAGGAATTTTTTTATATATATTTTTTTTTTCCAGCTACAGTTCCTCCTCATTCACTGTAACAAAACCAATCACTTTCAAGATGAAAATGTATTTTCCTCTCCCAAAGATACAGAGTGTACTTTACCTTCTTTGATTTACAAATCCCCTTTCCTCAAGGCAGAGTCTCCACACAAAACCTCAGCATTACTTCAGGAATACTGGATAATCTTTATGAATTTGAACCACTAACAACAAAATCACGACTGAGCAGGTGCTGGCTACAACTCAGCATTCTGCATTTCTGCAAGGGCAAAAATTCAGGCTGCTAGGAGAAGAAAGCAAGAGAAAGCTATAAAGGAGAGCTTGTAGATGACCATTTCCCACTGCTCCATCAAGTTCCTGTGCAGTGTACAACACTCAGCATGAACTAATCCCCATTATATCCACAAAGCTAACGCCTAAAGAAGCCCTCCTAGCAGAGCCTGCTTTCTGCCTTCAGGGAGTATGTGGCAAGCACTCTTCTCACCCCTAACACTAGTGGAGCAAGTGTGGGGCTAAGAGCAAGTCACTTATTCCCTCTCCTTCCATCTCTAATACCCTGATCATGAGCAAGACAATCTAAGACTGCAAAGAATTCACTCTTCTTCCTCAAAGCTTGTTTTGTCTGAAAGGTAGCAAGTCATTTCCTCCTTACTGAGCGGAAATCTCCAAAAAAGACAAGCTAGCACATTCCCTCAAAAGTTAAACTCAGCAACGTTGCAAGGATCCTGCCAGGAACCGGACACAGACCCAGATGTCTGCGCTCACAACTGACTTCAGACAGGCAACTTTTTGTGTGCTCCCTCCCTGGCAGGACCAGGGCATCCATCCCCGCTTTAGAGTTACCTGTGAGCACTCCACACACAGTTTCTAGCCCCAGATCAACCAAAGATCGTGGCCTGGGTACCACCTCTTCTCATTTACATGTCAAGTAACGATATTTATTCGCTTGATTTGTCAGAACATTAAACTACGGGAAAAGAGCTAATGGGTATCAGGCAATTGATAATAATGAGATTAGGGGCAGTTTTGAGGGATGCCATTCCTCAAGTGACCTCGAGAAGAACCTCTATCTCCGTGTCAATCCGCGGGTGCAGGATGCAGCTGAAGCAGAGCTTCCCATCTCTCCCCTTTCCTGCCTATTGACATGGCACATACTGGGCAAGGCCAGGCAGCAGCTCTGCTGCTTAGCACAGCAAGGCACAACCCCTGCACACAAAACCCCTTCAGGCAATACTACAATTTAATAAATCACTTTGATTATGCAAAAAACTACGCAGTACAAAGCACTGATTTATTCATTCTGGATATTCACGAGCTTTATGTGACGTTTGATGCTAGTAACAGGACACCTGTCCCCCTTACCTATAGGGAATTTACCCATTCAAAGCAACTTTTAGTGGTATTAACTGTCAAGTACCACAGCCAGTGCATCTTTGCTACAAGCTCCTGAAGAGAAGAATATACCAGGTTCTGATTTACTGCACACAAAGAGGAAGGACACAAAGACTGGAAAATATCATGTGGTAGCAAAACTGAAAGAATATAACCTGGAGTTTCTACCCACCTTTTGATCAAAACTCTCAGGTGTTAAGTAGAAGTTGTGAAGTGGAACAAAATAGTCTTCAAGGAGACCCATGAGCAAAACCAAGTAAACGCCATCTGCAAACTAAATGGAAATACTGGTGACCTTCCTAGGTGAGAGCATGTTTTCAAATGAGCGTTCACAAACAAGCAGAACAAAGAATTCTGGGCCCAAACCGTGTACTTTGATTTCTACCACTGCTGGTTGCTAGCACAGAGGTGTAAGATGGCTCAGGGCTCCCCGTGCAATCACCAGTGCAGCTGAGCAAGCTGAACCAGTCTTTTCTTTAGAGCCTGTTGACATCACTGCTTTCTTGTCAGTCCTCTTAAAAAAAAGAAAAAAGCACAGGATACAAAGCTTTCTCCCTACATCTGACAGCATTATTTCCCCTGTTCCTTTTTCCTGAGCAAACCAAGGAAGCCCATGGCTATTGCTGAAGTGTTAACCCATGCAAGGTTATGTGCAAACGACTATTTAAATTACTGACATGTAGTAAACAGCTCTAAGCAGAAGAAATTAAAAGCAATTCACCTGGGAGTTATCTACAATTTGTACTCCTTAGTTGTGCAAAGTATTTGGTTTGAATAGGCAGGGACTGAAAAGAGGATCTTCTTTATCTCCAGCTCCTTACTAAACGACTAAACACTTTGGGGTGAGGTTAGAGTATGTTCCTGCTTTTCCTCACATTCATTTTATTTGCTTGAGGAATCTTGCCAACTTCACTACAATATTTAACAAAGCTTTTTCAATTTAATTTAAAAAAAAAACAAAAAAACAAACAACAAAAGATTTCCGGGGAAACATGTTTGTACATTATATGCTCCCAGTGCTACTACAGTATCTGGTCATTTCAACCACAATCCCTCTTTAAGTTCAGTGTGTTGGACACTCAAATCTCTGCCCTGAATCAGAACTCGAGATTAAGTCTCTCCTGACACAGGAAGGAAGTTTTAGCTTCATGAATTATTTTTTTTTTCCAAGTCAAAATATATTGTTTACAGTTTCAGTAAATATTAAATAATATACTAAATACTTTCAGCAATACTATTCAGTATTCCTACCAGATAGGTCGATTACTTCCAGGCTAAGTGGGGGTAATGTTACATATTTCTAACAGATTTCTCACTTGTGATCCTGACGTGGCTATGTGACATCCTCTAACCTTTTTAGAAGTAAATTGTTGGGTACTCCCAAGGCATCAAGTGACAATCTCTTGTGACAGATCAGATCAGTCACCCATTTATTTCAGCAAAGCTATAAACCAGCAGTGAATGACTGGTATTAAACTAAGCCAGGCTCAAACCAATTACCCATACTCCTGGTATAATTCCCTAGACGTCATGCTTACTTTTTTTTCCCTGGGACAGTAAGATAACCATCTCTCCACAGTTCAGTGAACTCAGGAAAGAATTATCTGCTTCTGCTTAGCCAAGCTCGGGCCTGAGAAGTGCTTAATTTTATCTGTAAAGTGGGAGCTACCGGACCAACACTGAAATTCTCACTTGAGGCTTCCGAGCGTCTGGGGTGCGGCGTTGTGCAGCAGAACAGAGAAGCCCCCAGAGCAGGCGGTGGGGGCTGAAGTCGCCCGGGCAGCCCAGGCGCTGCGTGCGGGAGCTCCCGGTCACCCATCCCCGCTGCGGGAAGCCAGCACCGTGGTGTGCTCACGAGACAGAGGAGGGCAGGGAGGCCTTTGCTGCAAGAGCAGAATCGTTCCCAACCCCATTGTGAGGCCATCAGAGGGAGCGCCGGTAGCTCTGTGCTGCAGCCCTCGCCGCTCCGCACCCACAGGCGGTTCCTAGGAGCTTATACCGGATCATCAGGGACGCCCGCGGCTAGAAAAGGCACAAGCCACCCCCCCACTCCTCACAGAGCTTCGCAGCACCCTACTTCAACCCCAGGGACAGGGCGCCCTCAAATCCCACCGTACACTACACTCATCAATGCGGCCCTAGGAAAAATGCAAGAATTTCACCTTCGAATACAAATCAGCAGTGACATGAAGCGCGTGTAAACACGAGCAAAGGCAGGGAGCACCAGTGAGTGTCACTGTTACTTAAAAACCAGAGCCCTGAGCCCACAAACTAACATGCTCAAGGACAAACGGTTCCGTAACAGGAGCGAGGGCCAAGGTTTGGAACTCACACGGTTAGATCACACACACAGAGTCTCCTACCTGGGTTTCTAACTCGGTTACTTCCAAATTCAGTTTGTTCAAGTGCTTGTTCACGAAGGTGATCAGAGACTACAAAAGAGAACACCAGAACCAGCGATGTCAGATGCTACAGTCAGTGCCTGTGTGAAAAGGTTAACATAATCTTTCACGACATGTTTTTGAGATCACTAAATACGCACGTGTGCGGTCTGCTCTCGCATAAGTAAGTACATAAAGCTGGAAACCACCCAGGCGTGCCGCCGCTCGTGTGGCACGGCACGGCAGGAGTCACCAGATGGTGCTGTTCATGCAGCTCACCAGTGCCTCTCCCAGCACAGCGGGGGCAAACGCTGCCATGGCACTGGCTGCTCTGTGGGTCCTTTGCGAAGATGAAGCAAGCAGTGGGTGCCTTCGGTGTCCGCACCGATCCCGTCAGGTTCCCGGAGCAGACTCAGGGCCTGGGAGCAAGGCGCCAGCAGCACCAGGAGCTGATGGCACCCGTGCCGCGCACACCTCTGCTCCGGGGGGACGCGAGCGTGGCACCCTGCAAACCCCAGCCGGGGTGTAACCCCGAGCTGGCATTTCTGCTCCCACAGGACAGGGACAGGAAGATCCCGCTGCTGCGAGGCAGGTGGGTGCTCGGGTACAGAGCTGTGCCAGCCTGCTCACCCCGCAGCACGCGGGCCGGGTGGCAATGCCCTTACCGCGTGGACAGGCCTCACTGCGCTCTCTAGCAACTTTAAAAACACTCCTCTAGAAGATGTTTCAGACTGGAAATCTGAAGTCCAAGCATTATTTTGTACGTGTTCATCCTGTTCCACGTGAAGCGAAGGGCAGACTACAGCACGCGTCTTCGCCTGTCACTGCTCTAACGAAGAGCTGAACAGCCCGGCTGGAACCAGCTGACGGGACAGTGCAGAGCCCCGTCCTCACGTGTTCCCCAAAACTAACCGCAGCTGGCAGAGCTCAACAGTTATTTACCCCTCTGCTCTGCCCAGCACAAAGAGCCGTGTCGGGAACGTGTGTGGAGAGGAGGGCTTTGTGATGACGCTCAGCCTTGGAGGAGAGACCAGAGAACTGTATGAATTAATGTAAGTAGAGAAGCCCTGGGACAAAAGCAACTCTTCTGTAAGATTTATTTATGTATTTGCCAGTCAGAGAGGGACCTGGGGGTGCTGATTGACAGCTGGCTGAGCAGGAGCCAGCAGTGTGCCCAGGGGGCCAAGGAGGGCAACGGCATCCTGGCTGGTGTCAGCACTGGCGTGGCCAGCAGGGACAGGGAAGGGATCTGAGCCCTGGGCTCGGCACTGGGGAGGCCGCCCCTCGCTGAGGGGGTTCAGTTTTGGGCCCCTCACCCCAAAAAGGCCATTGAGTGACTCGAGCGTGGGCAGAGAAGGGCAACGGAGCTGGGGCAGGGTCTGGAGCACAGGTCTGCTGGGGAGCGGCTGGGGGAACTGGGGGGGTTCAGTCTGGAGAAGAGGAGGCTGAGGGGAGACCTCCTGGCCCTCGGCAACTCCCTGCCAGGAGGGGGCAGAGAGGGGGGATGAGTCTCTGGAGCCAAGGCCCCAGCGCCAGGCCCCGAGGGAATGGCCTCAAGCTGCCCAGGGCAGGGTCAGGCTGGCTCTGAGGAAGGATTTCTGTGCAGAAGGGGCTGTTGGGCGTTGGAATGGGCTGCCCAGGGCAGGGGGGAGTCCCCGGGATCCCTGGAGGGGTTGAAGAGTCGGGCTGAGCCAGCGCTGAGGGATCTGGGGGAGTTGGGAACGGTCAGGGGGAGGGTCATGGGTGGGCTGGAGGAGCTGCAGGGGCTTTGCCAACCCAGATGGTTCTGGGATTCTGAAAATTATTTACGGGTGAATCACATTTCGGGGTACTGTGGAAAATATCTTCCAGTCATGGAAGATCCTCTTCAGCACAGGAATGAGCTGAAAACCAAACAGCAGGGGCTTCCTGGGGAGAGCGAGGCTGAAGACGCACACACACAACTCTGGCTGCTGCGGAGCCCAGCGAAGGGGCCACCCCGGCCAGCGGAACGTTAGCCCACGTGCAGCCCAGCCCCTCCTCGCTGGAGGACAGCGCCCGGGACAGCACAGCCTGTACGTCTGTCCGGTCGGAATGACCTGTGCCACCGTGAACACTCTGCAGAGCAGCCTGCTGTAGCCGGTGTCACTCGGAATCTCAGGAGCACTACCTAGAACAACTTTGGTTGAGAAACCAGAGTCAACCAGAAGCCTGACCGAAGGCAACGAATCCAGGTATTGCCTGGCTTTGAAACAGTGATCTCGGGGGGATAAACACCCTTTTCACTATTTCACAGTCCCTTTTTGCTATTTTACAGATCTTTCCAGGCATCTTTCCAAAAGCATAAGAAAAAAAAGCAATATAGAAAACTTTTTTTTTTTTACCTTCTTGACCACGCTGAGTTTGTCTGGTGCATGATCAAAAAGTGTGTCAAAGGCATCACGCTCTGGTTTTAGGGGGAAAAAAAAAGAAAGAAAATAAATCAATACACCTCCAACAGCCAAGTGTGGGAAGCAGGTTATGTGGCCTAAGCTTAAAGGCCTTTCTCCGAAAGCCACGTAAGAGACTCAAGGTAAAAGTTATCCCCATGTTTTGGTGATAACTAAATGCCAGAGCAAACTCCCCTGGGGATGTGAGCGGTAACTGACAATAAACGTATCATTCACGGATTTCCCTTTTCTGTCATTCATATTTGTACACAAAATATGCCGGTGGAAGAAAACATCCCCCTGAAACACAAGAGTTGACTATGCCCCAATCCTAACTTAAACCATGAGCCACTGAAAGCTCCCTGGTTTTGGTGCACTACAGCTACAGTCACAGCTACGCCTGCATCCACCGCCCAGCCTCCACAGCAGAGATTCACGTGGTTAAAGTTCCTGGTAGTACCCCTGACTTCAGTAAAGCCTAAAATTGAACACGAGTGAAACCCGATTCAGCAGCATATGAAGAGCAAAGCTTATGCACAGGATGAAGATTTAAATTGGGTTTAGACCTTCAAAGCATTGTATAACGATACCTAACCCAGCCTAAAATCTACTGAATTGACCGTATTAGTGCAACGTTTCACACTGTGGCAGATTTGGGCTGACTGAAATTTTCCAAACACTGAGTTTTCTTGGTGACAACTGTCATCATCAGGTAAAACAAGAAAAAATTAGAAAAGTAATCAATTGCAGTCCTCTTTTTTTTTAAAAAAAGCATAAAGATGCTGGAAAAATGTGTGGATCTTAAGCTGTAAACATTTTCAACATAGTTTAACAGCTTTTTCAAGTTCAAATAAAATGTGTCAATAAAAATTAATAGCTTTCTATTTTTAAATAAATATATTTATTATCCAAATTCCTTTGGTATCTGAAGATGTGTTATTTAGTCCCTAGAGCCCCCTGACATATTTTCTGAGTACCTTTATTAATGTAGATACTCTGCAAGAGGGGGAATGGTAGCATTCACCTGTTATAACTGGGGAATAGAGAAACTAAATGACTTATTCTTCATCACAGACACAGTCCTCCACATCTCTTTGACAAGTGACTTCATGCCACTAACAAAACTAAATGCAAAAAGAGAAGCCTCTTAAAAAAAAAAAAAAAAAAAAAAAGTTTTTTGTTTAGAAGACCAGATCTACGGTTGGTATGGTCCAAACTCTAAAATCTAGTGAAGGAGGAGGAGGTAAGATATTTCATGCAAAGGAAAGTGGACAAATAAATAGAGCTTTCTTAGCCCTCGTACCATGCACCTTCGCTGCAGCAAGCTTCGTGTATTCATTAAATGGTCTTCATAAGGTGTAACTCTTATTGCTGGGGGTTGCAGAGATTTTTACTTGAAAGCCACTAACAGCAGTGCTAGGAAATACTGCCCTGTGCAGCATTTTTGCTATTCATTACTTACAAATGAAAACAAACCAACAGAGACCAGTCTGAAGAGCACAAGCAGTATACTGGGTGACCTGGTTCTACCCATTACACTCCACATCTGTGTGGAGTAACAAAACCTGCCCCCACAGCACATTCCAGCCCCACACAACTGCTCAATCCATCGCCTTGATCTGCTGAAGGAAAACAGACAAGATTTCTGTGCCCGACATAAATAATAAAGAAAAAATTTCAGTCAACTTTGTTACTTACCAAATCTTCCCATCATCATCCTGCAAAGTCAGAGCATTCAAAAATATTGTGTTAGTTGATGAATAATGACATTGAAAAGACAAGACCGTGCTCTTAAGGGGCCTTTTCCTGCAAGATGCTGGGGGCTAACCCACTCCTACCAAGCCAGGGGGCTGAGCGCGCCGCAGCCCAGACCCGACTGCTGCAGGACCACAGCCACGTCGCCGGGATCCATTTGAAATGAAAAGAAATGCCTAATTAGGTTTTACGTGTGATGAGGACTTCTTGTGCTTGACTATTTTTATGATGAAGAACAAGCGAACGAACGTGCTCCTGTGCACAGCTTCCACACGCGCGGCCGTCAGCTCCAGCGCACAGCTCCGAGGGAGCAAGGCTATCTACCTCCCTTTAACCTCTCTTCTCTGAAGGAGGAAAGCATACATCATATCTGGATCTTACGTAAATAAATGCCACGCATCTACACGGCCAGTGACATCACCCGACACATGCAGATGTTTATCGGCTGAGCACCAGGCCCTGATCTGCCCGGAGCAATTTGAAAGCGTTCAAGTGAATGCTGGATTCTGCTGATGGTTGCATTTTCCAAAGCTGTACTTGTATCTGGGGATGCCACGCATTGAACACCAAATCTCTTCATATTGTGTAGTATTAAATCACTTAACAAAATACATGTATAAACACACACGCAAATCTGTAAACAACTTTCTTGTTAAAAAATACATAACCCCCACTCCACAGATTACATTTTACGGATGTAATCCCCACCTGACGGAGAGGACGAGCTCCCTGCACTGTCCCAGAGCACAGGAGTGAGGGGAGGAATTTTGGCCCACAGACCTAAGGCAGAGCTCTGGTCCTACAAAAACACGATGAGATCTTTAACGTCCACACAGAGATGTTACGATCTCATTTTTGAGCGTTTCCATCTGAAAGCTCTTCCCCGCTGAGCTAGCCACACGGTACTTCATTTATCTTCAAAGCCCCGGAAAGCTGAGCCAACTCGACGGGGAGCCAACACACCGATAAACTGAAGGAGGGCTCATGTAAGCCCCTCAGAAGAGTTGCCTTCAGGCCACACAAAGGAAAATCTCAGCTTTTATTTGCAGCCAAAGTGCATGTCTAGCCTTCTCCTTATGAAAAGGACTGTAAAAACACAAAGCAAAATAATCTGTTGCAAAAAACAGAGAGGAAAGAGGTTTATTTCTTTAATTTGTTTTTGCTGAGCCCTACTCCTGAGGTACTACTGAAAACAGAGGTCACCTCTCCTTAGTTTTAACAAGGTATCGCTTCAGTTTTGAGAGGTATTTCAAAAAATTGCTTTTTGTCAAACTAATTCTTCCCCAAAATATCTACATTGGCCCTTCCCTTGAGAGAGGTCACAGCACTGGGCAGAAATCAGTTATAGATGGCTACCTCTAGAAGGCAGGGGGGGAAAAAAAAAAAAAAAAAGGCCCACACTCTCTCAAATATAGTATCTTTAAGGATAAGAACCCCAACAGTACCACCTACTATAATATCCTAATGGAGTTTCTTTTCTACAATCCTAAGAAAATTATTCAAAAAGACAGCAACAGTAATAAAAGGATGTTACACTCCTAGATCATTCCAAACTGTACTTGAAAAATAGTTTAGAGTGTTTAGACCTCACAGAATAACCTTTAAGGAGCTACTCACTATCCTCACATCATCACTGACCAGAGGACAGCAGGAGGACACGCATGTAGCTCTCAGGGTGTGGAAAAAAAAAACATCATCCAGCATGATTCCTGTGGGAACACGCTCTATATTTCCATGAGTGTCACTCAACCATGGGCACTGTCCAAAGGCTCATGGAAATCACTTATCAGTGGGCTCGGACCAAATCCCCTTTCTACTCGCAGGCATAGTGAATCAGGTTCGTTTTATTCTACGTCAGCTCTAAATACATCATCTCATCTTTACAATCTGCCCAACACAATCTCATCGTTACCACTGATCTGTTCAGCACCATATGCCAAGGACTTACTGCCCAAGACGTCAGCTTTATACCTCAAACCTCATGAAGTCACATTCCCAGAGAGATTTAAACATATTAATACAGAGACTAAGCTGGCGACAAGCAGGAAAACCATAATCTTCCCCCACGCAGTGGGAGAATACATTCAGAGAAGCTCGTCAGGGTTTTTTACCATAAAAGCAAACAGATAAATAATCACGAGAACAAGACAAGCCAGCCAAGCAACTCACTCCCAGGGCTCAGGCTGGATTTATCTCCGTAAAGACTAAGTTGCGTCCAAAGCCCCCGTTACACGTTAAGTCGTTCCAAGTTTCCAGGAGGGCGGGTAGGGAGCCTGGCCCACCCCACGCCCCGGCCCTACCTCCAGGCTCTCCAGCCGGTCCTTCAGGGTCTGCATGGTGCGGCTCAGCTGGTCGATGACCTGC